ACATTCACTTATTGTTCATTCTGTTTGATACTGATGTTGTTTCTTTATGTCTACATTCTCTGAGGATACAATTCCCACAGATGCCTGTGTTGGACTTTTGCCAATATTTAATATATAGTAGATTCATCAGTGACTTTTTAACTTGGTCACTAAGGATGCTATTGTTTTTTCAGTCAGTTGATCCCTGTTGAATATTGAGCAGATAAAACGAATGATTTTCTAGTTGCAGAATTTTCTTTAAATCAGAAATATATGATCATTACCTCTATAAAAACCACAGAGAGTTTTATAACATTTAACAACCATTTATGTGAAAATTATTTCTTTCAGCTTCCAAGAACAGAAGCAAATATTTCCTAATTTAAAGATCATATAATTACTCCGTAGTATAATTTTTTTTTTAATGTGATGAGACAAGAAGCAGAGCGTTCTAGACCTAGAGAATCCTTTACCTTAAAATCAGGACTCATGGAAGAGCATGGTCAATGTACTTATAGATTTCCACAAAATTTCTGATCACCTGTTGATTCACACTATTAACCTTTTGCCTTTTGTGTTGAACTGCAAATAGAAGCCATGGAGAATTTCTGTGTGAGTAAGTATGACTGTGTCTGAGAGCTTTGAGGGGGAAAAAAAAATGCATCATCATATACTTTTTTCCTCCTAAAATGGGCTAGATGTTTTAAATTGTGTAATGTCAAAAGAGAAGTTTCTAAAAGGTAATGATAGGTATTTTTCTAAATAAAATTTTCTTTCTACAATGCTCAACCCTAAGAGATCGAAGGAACTGGCAAATATAATTTATTTGCCAGTAGTAACCTAAAATAAATGTAATATTAGGAACACCCACTCCTACCACAAATGCTTATTATTAAAAAAAAAAAAGAGAGAGAGAGAGAAATATGCGGAAAAGGTGTTGGTGCATCACATGCGAATGTCAACTATATCTTAAACGCCTCCTCTTATCATTTGGTAAAAAAGTATTGTATGGCTGTCACATGTTGATGACTGGAAGATGAGGATCTTTTGGGGGCATGGCTCACTGATCTTACGAGTAAGAAGACTAATTAGATTTTCAATATTAAGGCACTAATTGCATAGGGGGGAGCTCTGGTAGCATAGTTCCTAAGGCACTTGACTGCCAACCAGAAGGCTGACGGTTCAAACCCACCAGCCACTCCTCGGAAGGAAGGTTGGGCAATCTACTTCCGTAGTGATACCACCTGGGAAATCCAAGGAGGAGTCGATTCGATGGCAGGTAACAACAACAACAGTTGCATAGGGATTGAAGTCAAAAGGAATTTGGGCATAAAGTTTCTTCTTTGAGTCTATGACAGGCACAGTGTAAGATTTCACTGCCCAAATCTCCAGCACACCTAATCTCACTTCTGTAAAATTTTGGTGGGGATTGATTTCTATATCCTTGCCTCCTAGTACAGGTGACAGTGATTGCTTTATTAGGAAAAGAAAAGCTACATTTCCCTAGAATCAAATGAATTAATTGCTATATTTTGAAACAATCAATTCCTGTTCTTTAGTAGAGCAATATTAAGCTTCCTTTTCTGGCATATTACCTAAGGCATTTGACTGCTAACTAGAAGGATGGCAGTTCAAACCCATCAGCTGCTCCTCAGAAGGAAGATTGGGCAAACTACTTCCATAGAGATAATGCCACAGAAACCCGGGAGGGGTCTCCCGGGAGGGGTCTCTATGAGTCAGAAACGACTGGACAGCAGTGAGCTTGTTTTGGGTTTTGAGGACACATCTATTAACTTACTGTTTTTGTGCTGTTTTGTTTTAAAAATGAAATTCACCTTAGGTGGGAAAAAATGCTATTGCATGAATATCACTCAAAATCCAAAATTACAGAATTTTGGACTTCTAATCTTAATATTTTTCCATTGAGGAGCCATCAATAATAATAAAACACATCATCTATTAAGTTACATTGATAGGAAGAACATTGAAGACAGTTAACACTCTACTCATTTTTGTCTTCATAACATCTCTTATTATCTCTTATCGTAGAGAGGTGATTGCTTTCAAACTATGACTTATGAGGCATTAGAAATAACTGCTTAATCAAAGGAGAAAACATTGAAAAATTAAAGAAAGAGACATGCCATGCAGTATTAAATAACTTGCCTGAAATAACTGCAGTTTATCTTCACAGCAACTTTTTTTTTTTTTAATTCTGAGGAACAAACAAGAACCAAGCTTCTTCCCATATAGACCTAAAGAAGAACTGAAGAGGTTATATTATTCAATCTTTCAAAGAATATTTACTGTTTATTATGTCCCTGGGGATAGGGCAGATGATAGAGATAAAATAGTGAGCATGAGGAAGGATCATCTTATTTCCAGGAAGAGGATAATGAGGTCTTGCCACAGAATGCTAACTGCAGAATAATAGAAGGAAGAGGGATGATATAGGTGATCATAGACTAAATCTCTTTCAAAGAAGGGAATAACATGTGCAAATTAATTAGGGGAAATAGCCTTGGAAAATATAGATGCAGGCAATTATTGTAATGAAATGCTAGTATGGAAGTAAAAGGAACATGTATTAGAAGCATATACAATATGGTGAATTTCTCTACTGTAAAAAAAATAACAAACACTTGAAAGGTTTTAAACATAGGAGAAAAATTTAGTCTTTAGAAATATTATCATGTAGCACAATGGAAAATGTTCTAGAGGGAATCCATAGGATATAAATGAAATTCAAACAAGGAATTAGATGTGATGCATCTAAATGTAGAAAAGAATTAAGGAAAATGAGTTAGGAAGAACATTGAGAAGAAAAACTGAAAAGATGAGGAGTAGATTGTCTGAGAGGTGAAGTGACATATTTCAAGGCAAGAGTGGTCCACCAAGAGATGGAGAAAAATGAAGGCTTAGAGTGTACTTTGCTTTATGCAAGAAATTGGACTGTTCAGACTTTACCAGAGAATGTTAATGGGGTGGTTGAGATTACCAAAGGATTGCAATGGGACAATATATATGTGGGATTTGAAGAAATGGAGAGTGAATATAATTTGAAAGCACTTCTGAAGGAACAGTCTAATAATGACTCTTCAGTGTATTTAGATTTCATTTTAATCTTAAATTCCAGATGACTGATTATATTCCAACATAAATTTAGATGAAAAAAAAAAAAAAACATTGTTTTGTGGTATTATTCATCACTGTGATAATTGTTTTGTGATATCCGTCACTGCATGTTAATTGTACCTAAAATTCACTCCCACAATATTTCACAAAATACATAGCCATCTGCTCTGTTCACTGTACAATACCAGGCAGGATATTCTAATGAAATTCCAGCAGAAAAGTACAGAGAGAAGCAGCTTTGAATGCCTAACGTCTGGGCTTAAAAACTTATCAGCAATATAATTTGCCATTGGTATTCAGACGGAAAGGATAAGGGAGCTTTTGGTGAAAGAAGAGATTTTACCAGTGTTATATATAACGGAGATGGAGTATAAAGGTAAGGTGCTCTCCACTAAACTTACATATTCCTTTACTCAGTGGTCAACACTTGTTGTTGTTGTTGTTATGTGCCGTCGAGTCGGCCCCGACTCATAGCGACCCCTCCTTGGGTTTCCGAGGCAGTATCACTACGGAAGTAGGATTGCCCAACCTTCCTTCCGAGGAGTGGCTGGTGGGTTTGAACCGCCAGCCTTCTGGTTAGCAGTCAAGTGCTTTAGCCACTATGCTACCAGAGCTCCTTTAGGAGAAGAAATAAAATGAAAATTACTTGGGTAGTAGATTAAAGATAAGAAAGAACTTATGAAATAACAGCATAAGGAGTTGAATTTAACCATATAGTATTGAAATTAAACCAAAGTGAATTTTAAAAAATGCAAAATAAAACAAATGAAAAATTGAAAATGAAAATTCAAGAAAGTTTGGACTGCTATTATTATTATTAGATGCCATTAGTCCTGTGCTATCCTCAGAATTATTGCTATGTTTGACCCTGTTGTTGCAATATTTTTCACCAACACCATAATTCAAAGGTGTCAAGCTTTCTTTGTTCTTCTTTATTCATTGTCAGCTTTCACATGCATATGAGGTGATTGAAAATACCATGGCTTGGATCAGGTTTACTTTAGTCCTCACTTTAAAGAGGTCTTTTGTAGCTGATTTACCTAATGAAATATATCACATGAGTTCTTGACTGCGATTTCCATGGACAAAGATTGTGGATCCAAGTATAATGAAATCCTTGAAAATGTCAATATTTTCTGTTTCTTATGATGTTGTTTATTAGTTCAGTTGTGAGGATTTTTGTCTTTTTTATGTTGAGGTATCATCCATACTCAAGGCTGTAGTCTTTGATCTTTGTTGATAAGTGCTCCAAGTCCACTTGACTTTCAGCAACCAAGGTATGTCATCAGCGTATCATAGGTTGTTAATGAATCTTCCGCCAGTCCTGATACTGCTTTCTTCTTCATACATTCCAGCTTCTAACTTTGAGGAGGAGCTCTTCCCAGTAGTGTATTGAGTGTATTCCAACCTGAAAGGTACCATCTCAGACAATGTTTCACTGCTACTCATAAAGTTTTCAATGGCCAACTGTCAGAAGTAGATCTGCAGGTCCTCTTTCCCTGTCTCTCTTAGTCTAGAAGCCTGCTCAAACCTGTCACCATGGGTGACCCTGATGATACTTGAAATAACAGCGGCCTACTTTCCAGCATCACAGCAGCACACTTTCCACCACAGTACAACAAATGGACAGACATGTGGTAGAAGGCTGAACTAGGATTACTCAAATAAATGTCTTAAAGTAATCTCCTGATGCCAATATCCTAGAAGACAGAGAATTCAATTCAAATTATATTGTAAAATATTGGGTTTTCAGATAAAGGAATGAAATATATGTAACTGCTTAGTTTTTCAAATCTGTATCCAATACTAACTGATTTAGATATCTGCACTCTCATTTCTAATATCTGAATTTTTCATGCAGACTGGGCAGCAGTCAAGAATCAGTGATGAAAAATTATACATCTGTAACTACATTCATCCTCCTGGGACAGACTGATGACCCACACTTGCAGGTTCTACTGTTTTTCTTTCTATTTATCACATACATGTTGAGTGTAACTGGAAATCTGACCATCATCACACTAACCTATGTGGATTCACACCTTAAAACTCCAATGTATTTTTTCCTTCAAAATTTTTCCTTCTTGGAAGTCTCATTCACAACTACTTGTATTCCCATATTCCTTTATAGCCTATCTACTGGAGATAGGACAATTACCTATAATGCTTGTGCCAGCCAATTATTTTTTATTGATCTTTTTGGAATAACAGAGTTTTTCCTCCTTGCCACTATGTCCTATGACAGATATGTGGCCATTTGTAAGCCTCTGCATTATATGGCCATCATGAACAACAGAGTCTGCATCATCTTTGTCCTTTGTTGTTGGACAACAGCTTTGATGCTGATCCTTCCACCTTTGAGCCTTGGTTTCAATCTAGAATTCTGTGACTCAAATACTATCGATCACTTTTGCTGTGACCCATCACCTATCCTGAAGATCTCCTGCTCAGACACGTGGTTATTAGAGCAGATTGTTGTAATTTGTGCTGCGTTGATACTAATGATCACATTGGTTTGTGTAGTGCTGTCCTACACATACATTATCAGAACCATTCTCAAATTCCCTTCTGTTCAACAGAGAAAAAAAGCCTTTTCTACCTGTTCTTCCCATATGATTGTAGTAGTCATCACCTACGGTAGCTGCATTTTTATTTATATGAAACCTTCAGCGAAGGACGAAGTAGATATTAATAAAGGTGTGTCAGTGCTCATGTCATCTGTTTCTCCCACATTAAATCCATTTATTTACACATTGAGGAACAAACAAGTGAAAGAAGCCTCCAATGACTTAATCAAAAGGATTGCCTTAATCTCAAAAGAAAAATAAAATTCTTAAATTGACATGTGAAGTCAAATATAAATATTGGAATTAATGTTTCTGATCTTTAAATGTTTCTGTTATGGCTAACAAAATATCTTTTAGCATCCTGTTCTGTATGTAGTCCAATAAGATACTCTTTCTCAAATTATTCACTCATTAATTTGTTAATTTGTTTAATATTAAAGTACAGAGTGCACGTTATCTGTCAGATAGCATACATTCTTTTATTTTAGCACCCTGATTATGTCACTCATTTTTTTATGCTCTCTTAACTAACCTCTATTAGAAAATCATCACACTTTAAAAGAATATGGAAAGGGATATCCCTGAAATGGATTTGTGTTTATATTTCTAAAACAGTTTTGTTGTGGTTTAATATGGTAATAGAGCAACACTCCTTGTGATATCTTCATACTCAAGAGTTCAAAATGAAAAACGATACCCTGAGACAAATCAATCAAAAGAGCAAAGATAGAAATCTCATTTCCACTGGCAAGGTAAATTTTACCAAAGAAGTCATGATGCCTTGAGTGGAGTGAAAGCAGGAGACTACCAGGAGATGGAAGAGGGGAAGAGCAGGAATTCAGAATATAATGATAAACAAAGGAAAGGAGTCTGTAATATCTGCAGTGACAGGGAGCTATGTGAGTAATGTTCTGCCTATATTTTAAAAGGATAACAGCCTGTTGTGTAGAGAAATGATGTGGGAGGATATAGTTTGTACCATCAAAATTAGTTACAATGAAATTTTAAAAGTTCAAGCAAGACATAGTTATGGCTTGGATCAAGCTGAAAACATGATAGAAGTAGTCGGAAAATGATCAGGTTAAGAGTATGTTAAAAAGATGGCACCAAACTAACTTGATGGATGGCAATGTGAATGTGAATGTAAGAATTAATTTAGGATTTTTGATATAAGAAAATAGTAGAATTTGGAGCTGCCATGAGTAAAAATTGTGGGTGATTAATTTTGTCTGGGATATCAAGAATCTCATTTAGTCATGTTAATTTTGAGATGTCTACTATATATTCAAGAGGATACATCAAGAAGGCAGGTGGTGTATCAATGCAGGGAAAAAGTAAAGAATGACGATACAAATTTTTTGGTTATAAATACTTGTTGCTGCTCTTCAGTGCTGTTGAATCAGCTCTGACTCATAGCAACCCCATGTACACAGAACAAAATACTGCCCAGTCCTGCACCATCCTCACAGTCATCGCTATGCTTGAAAGCATCATTGCAGGCATTGTGTCAATCCATTTTATTGAGGGTCTTCCCTTTTTTTTGTTTACCTTCCACTTTTCTAAGCATGATATCCTTCCCCAGGAACTAGTCCCTCTAATAACATGAACAAAATATGGGAGAAAAGTCTGGCCATTATTGCTTCTAGGAAATATTCTGCCTGTACAATTTCCAAGACAGATTTGTTGGTTCCTTGGGCATTTCCTGCTATATTCAATATTGTTTGCCAACAGCACAATTCAAATGCATCATTTCTTCTGTGGTCTTCTTTATTCACTGTCCAGCTTTCACATGCATATAAGGCTATTGAAAATTCTATGGCTTGAGTTAGGGACACCTTAGTCTTCAAAGTGACATCTTCACTCTTTAACACTTTAACTTGTTCATTTTCTGCTGATTTGCCCAGTACAATATGACATTTGATATTTCGACTATTGCTTCCATGGGTGTTGATTGTGGCTCCAAGTAAAATGAAATCCTTGACAATGTCAATCTTTCCTCCATTTATCATGATGCTCCTTCTGGTCCAGTTGTGAGGATTTTTGTCGTCTTTATGTTGAGATGCAATCCATACTGTGTCTTTGATTTTCATCAGTATGTGCTTCAAGTTCTCTTAGCTTTCAGCAAGCAGGGTTGTGTCATCTGAATATCGCTGGTTGTTAATGTGTGTTCCTCCAATGCTGTTACTGTGTTCTTCTACATATAGTCCAGCTTCTCAGATTATTTGCTCAGCACACAGATTGCATAAGTAGAATGAAAGGATACAGCCATGATGGACACCTTTTCAGATGTTAAACTATGCAGTATTTCATTGTTCTGTTTGAATGTCTTCCTCTTAGTTTATGTACAGGTCTACATGAGCACAAGGAGCTCTGGTAGCATAGTACCTAAGGCACTTGACTGCTAACCAGAGGCTGGTGGTTCAAACCCACCAGCCACTCCTCTGAAGGAAGGTCTGGCAATCTACTTCCACAGTGATACTGCCTCAGAAATGCAAGGAGGGGTCGCTATGGGTCAGATCTGACTCGAGGGCACATAACAACAACAACATGAGCACAATTGAGGAGTATTCTGGAATTCCCATTCTTTGTAATATTATTCATAATTGGTTATCCATAATTCCACACAGTGGAATGTCTTTGCAAACTCAATACAACACAGGTGTATATAATTCTGGTATTTGCTTTCAGCAAAGATCCATCTGACATTAACAATGGTATCGCTCAGTCCATGTTCTCTTCTGAATCTGGCTTCAACTTCTGGTAGTTCTCTGTCAATATACTGCTGCAAGTGTTTTTGAATAATTTTCAATAAAATTTTACTTACATGTGATATTAATGATATTGTTCAATAGTTGCCACATTCTGTTAAGTCACTTTTCTTCAGAATGGGCACAAATATCGTATTTTCCTGTCAGTTGGCCAGAGTAGCTGTCTTCCAAATTACTTGGCATAGACGAGTAAATGCCTCCAGCACTGCATCTGAATACCATTTCAGTGGGTATTCTGTCAATTCCTGGAGCCTTGTTTTTCTCCAATTCCTCAGTGCAGGTTGGACTGCTTTCTTCAATACCATTGGTTATTGATCACATGCTACCTCCTGAAATGGTTGAAGGTTGACCGGCTGTTTTTAGGACAGTGATTATGTGTATTCCTTTCATTGTTTTTGATGATTCCTACATCAAATGCTTCAATGTTGCAACTTGAGGCTTGAAATTTTTCTTCAGTTCTGTCAGTTTGAGAAATCCCAAGCACATTTTTCTCTTTTGGTTTCCTAACTCCAGGTCTTAGCGTATTTTATAAAACTTGTCTTTGTCTTCTCAAACCACTCTTTCAAATCTTCTGTTCAGCTCTTTTATGTCATCATTTCTTTAATTAGCTTTAGCTACTCTCAGTTCAAGAGCAAGTTTAAGTGGCTTCTCTGATATACATTTTGGCCATGTCTTTCTTTCCTGTCCTTTTAATGACCTTTTGCTTATTTCGTTTATGACATCCCTGATGTCATCCCACAACTCATCTGGTCTATGGTCATCAATGTTCAATGCATCAAATCTATTCTTCAGATGATCTTCAAAGTCAGATGGGGTATATTCAAGGCCATATTTTGGCGCTTATAGACTTATTTTAATTTTCTTCAGCTTCAAATTAAACTTGCATATAAGCAGTTGATAGTCAATTCCATAGTCATCCCCTGGCCTTGTTCAGACACATGTGTACTTCATTTGATTCCTGTATATTCCATAAGGTGAGGTACTTGTGTATAGTCACCATTTATGTTGCTGAAAAATGACATTTGTGGAGAGTTCTGGCAAGATGATGGAATAGGCAGACAAATTACACAGACTCACTGCAATAAAGCTATGACAAACCAATTGAAACTGATACAGAATATGAACTTGGAACACTGAGCTTTGAAGGCAAGAATAAAGAAGATTAAATACAAACTAATAGAAGAACCTGAATGAAAACAATGAGAAAGGAGACAAAGAGTTCCAGACTGCTGACTGTCCAAAGGGCACAGCCATTTTGAATATTTCCTAGAAACAACCTGGGAATCATCTCTGCTGACTAAGGACTAAATGGGCAAGGACTGCATTGGTGCCTGACAACCAGAAAGAAAAACAACAAAGAAAGAGACAAACAGACTTGTGGAATTCCAGCAGATCTCCTGACAGTTCAGCCATTTTGAATATTTGCAACCAGTGTTCTTATCTGGATGGTGACCTAGGAATAGGCTTCACTTGTTGAGGACAACATGGGCAGCCACACTGGAGGCTGATGACTAGAAAGTGGTTTTCTCATTTTTTGTGTGTAACTGACTAGAAGGCAGTAATTGTTCTAACATGAACAAACCATACCTGCACATCCTGAAGCCTCACAACTGAATGAGGTCACCACTTGCTTTTGCACCAACTGACCAACAATAGATAGTAGACAATACCAGTGCAACTCACCCTCAACTGCTCCTTTTGAACAGCCAACCAAAATCTGTGTACACATTCTCAACCTCTATTGCACCCACCAGGAGACAGGTGGTGGGTACCTCATTGCTAACAAATAGCAAACAGAAGAGCACAGTACCCTGCTCACACAGATATATCAAAACAAAATAAAGAAAAAAAATCTTGGTAAAAACAAACCAATATGAACCACAAATTAAACATAAATACAACAACACCACTGTGTTTCAGAGACAGAAGACCATCACAATCCACAAAAATAAATAAATGAATGAATAAATAAACAAATAAATAATCAAGATAAAATAGTAGAAACAATGGACCCAGATTCAAACCAAGAAAACATCCCTGACAAAGAAGCAACATTGAGCTCCCTGATAAGGAATTAAAAAGACTTACATTTTGGTACCAAAATGAAGGACAACACAGACAAAACTCTAAAACAATTTAGAAAAATAGTGCAAGAACAAATGAAGAAACTAAATAAAAAATTAGAAAAAATGCAAAAACAACAAACACAAATCCAGAAGATGAATACTAAGATTTCAGAAAATCATTGAATGGTCAAGGAAGTAGAATCGAATCAATGGAAGACAGAATTAATGAGATTGAAGACAAATACCTCAATACTACTTTGTTAAGGAAACAATCAGACAAAAGATTAAGCAAAATGTAGAGGGCCTAAGACTCATGTGGGATATCATCAAGAGGACTAACCTACATCTAATAAGAATTCCAGAAGAGGAATAGACAAATAAAACCACAGAGAAAAATGTTGAAGATTTGATCAAAGAATGTTTCCCT